CGACTACCTGTCCTCTAACGAGGGACCGACACGCACTAGGTCAGCTAAGGAAGCTGGCAATACTGAGAGAAGAAAAGTGGGAGAGTGCAATGTTGGTAAGATAAAATTAAAGCATATTTTATCTCTCTGCTTGATTTTGTGAAAAGGTGTATTTTGCAGGGGGGGATCCACGTTGGCGGGTGGGATGGTGACCTCACACTTGGCTTGCTCCTGCAGCTGGGTGGTGGGGGATGAGGGACCCACTTGTGCTTCCGTGCCTGTCACCGCGCTGGATGCATGGGAGATGCTGCTATGCCCATCTGTGCAGTCGACATCGTGGAGATGCCGTGGGGAGCTCTGTTTTTGACTGTGGAGCAGTGGAGCAGTTGACATATGGCTGGTGGCTTTGCAGAGGGGTGGCCGGTTCGGGCCAGGCAGGAGCAGGGGTGGCCGGTTCGGGCCAGGCAGGAGCAGGGGGGGCTGGACAGACCTGCGGGTTCCCTGGGCCGACCGGGTGGCAGGCGGGGACGTCCCCTTTGGGGAGCCGCGGAGGGGCACTGCGAGGGGGAAGTTGCAGTTGCACCGTGGGGGGGAGGGTGGAGTTGGGGTGAGTAGTGGGTGTCTCTGGGGGTTTGGAGGTTTTGGCTGGGCAGGTGCTGTGGAGGGTGCCCAAGCCCCAGGAGGATGTGGGGACCCCTTCCATGTTTGCCCACCCTGCCCAGGGGTATGCCAGGATCAATCCTGTTCGGGCACTGTAGCAGCGAGGGTGGGATGTGATGGACTTGGCTTGCCTGCGGCTTCTGCCCAGAATGGTTTGTGTGTTTGGTTTTTTTTGCTTTTTTTTTTTTTTGTTTTGGAATTTTAGCATCTTGGAGGGGTGTTTAGGGCAAGGAAATGCCCCTGGGTTAGAGTGTAGGAAGTTGTGAAGGAATAGTAGGCAGAGAAGGGCTTGTCCAAATTATTTCAGTGGGGAGAGACCTGTATGCCGTTATGAGGTTGTGAGCTGTGCTGGTGGTGGTATATGCCTCCGGTATAGTCTCCCATGCCATACAGGTCAAAACTGAAAGGTCAGATAAGATAAAATGTCTCCATGGGCAGGATGGGCTCACTAACTTTCTGGCAGTCATCCTAGGAGAAGGACAACTCTAATTTCAAACCCAGGTAGATGGAGCTCACTTAGGCCTGTAAGGCCATCCATACAAGAGAAGGATACTCCAATTAAACCTGCGTCCTGAGGACTTTGTTGTCATCATCCAAGCTTGCCAGGCCCTGGCAGATGAACCTCAGGAGTAAAGGGTGGGACCAGTTCTGGGCAAACTGAGCCTCACCTAAAAAATCCACTGCGCAGGCTCGAGGGTTATACCCACACTTGTAAAGTCCTGCAGCGACAGGTGAGGGATGAAACGGCAGGTGATAAAGGTGCACTGGAATCTGCAGACCCAACCCTTCATGCAGGCAGTTCAGGGCACTGGTCACCTGAGTCTGACCCCGGAGATGACAGACTCACTCGGCAGCATCCTGAATGACCAAGCAGCCTTTTTCAAGGAGAGCACTGCTTGCTCCACACGGAGAGGGGTCTAGAAAAGGTGACCCAACCAAAGCTCATCTCCATCCTTCACCCAGTTGGTTAACCGTGGCCAATGGGCATCTTCTGTTGAGGTCAAATAAAGATTAAGAGTCAAAGGCACACACCTGCCTTCAAAGGGGTGTCCAGATTAACACTGATACTGCAGATAGTGGACATCCTGAGCGCCGCTCTGCTCTAATTGCCCATGAACTGTCACAACTCAACATCAACATTGCTGGTCTCAGTTAAGTTCATCTCCATGAGGAAGGCAGCCTTAGAGAACATGGTGCTGGTTATACACTCTACTGGTCAGGTAAACCCAGATCTGAAGGGCATCTCTCAGGAGTTGGCTTCATGATTAAAAACTCTATTGCCTCTAAACTGGAAAATCTGCCAACTGGACATTCTGATCATATTATCGCCCTACTCCTCCCACTACACAACAAGCAACATGTTGTTGTTCTCTTCAGTATAAATGCCCCAACCCTCCAAGCTGACCCTGCCGAAAAAGATAAATTCTACACCGATCTACGCCACCTTATCCAAAAGGTTCCCGAGATGATAAGATCATTATCCTTGGTGATTTCAACGTCAGAGTAGGAAAGAACTCTGAAGCCTGGAAAGGAGTATTAGGTAAGCACGGTGTTGGAAACTGCAACAATAATGGTCGCCTTCTGCTAGAGTTTTGTGCTGAGCAGCAGCTCACCATCACCAACACTATCTTTCAGCAGAAAGATAGTCTGAAGACAACCTGGATGCACCCTAGGTCCAAGCACTGGCACCTCATTGATTATATCTTGGTCCGACAGAGAGACATCTGTGATGTTCGTCACAACCCCGTGATGCCTGGTGCAGAATGCCAAACAGATCATCGCCTTGTGCTCTGTAAGCTTAACCTCCACTCTAAGCTCAAGCCTAAAAGGAGCAGAATTCCAAGAAGGAGACTTCCGGTTAACCGTCTTCAAACAGCTACAGTAAGGGACAGTTTCCAGGCAAATCTCCAATCCAGGCTCGAAGTTCATTCCACAGATCCTTCTCCTGAAGCACTTTGGCAACTTATTAAAAATAGCATCCTACAGTCCTCTGAAGAATCCTTAGAGTTCTATTCAAGAAAAACAAGGACTGGTTCAGTGAAAACAATCATGAGATCCAGGAATTGTTGAGTAAGAAGAGAACTGCTCACCAAGCCCACCTTGCTCAGCCATCTTGTCATGCAAGAAAAGCAGCCTTTTGATTCACATGCAGAAAGCTCCAACAGAAATTTCGTGACATCCAGAACAAGTGGTGGACCAGTCTAGCAGAAAAAATCCAATTATGCCCAGATAAGAGTGACTAACGGGATTCTATGAGGCTCTGAAAGCAGCCTACAGTCCTACAAACCAGGTTCAAAGCCCTTTAATCAGTGCAGATGGCCAAATGCTTCTCACAGATAAAGTTTCCATTTTGAGTTGATGGTCTGGACATTTTCAGACTCTCTTCAGTACTAGCCTTGTAGTTCAGGACTCAGCAATGCAGTACATTTCACAACAACCAGTGAAAACAGAACTGGATACTGCCCCCACCATGGGAGAAACTCATAAAGCAATACAGCAGGTGAAAATTGGCAAGGCAGCCGGGGTTGATGGAATCCCACCAGAAATCTGGAAGCACAGTGACCAAGCACTCCATGCTGAGTTTCACGAATTTGTGGTGCGCTGCTGGGAACGAGGTGAACTGCCTTCAGACCTTCGTGATGCTGTTATCGTCACCTTGTACAAGAGGAAAGGAGATAAATCAGTATGTTCAAATTACTGAGGTATTACTCTGCTGTCCATTGCTGGTAAGATCCTTGCAAGAATTCTTTTGAACAGATTAATACCCCTTATAGCAGAAGATCTTCTACCTGAGAGCCAATGTGGTTTCAGAGCCAAGAGAGGTACCACAGACATAGTATTTGTTCTGAGAAAACTGCAAGAGAAGTGTCAGGAACAGAACAAAGGACTCTATGTAACCTCTGTTGATCTCACCAAGGCGTTCAATACTGTGAGCAGAAAAGGTCTGTGGTAGATTTTGGAAGGTTTAGGATGTCCTCCCAAGTTCCTCAAAATGATCATCTCATTCCATGAGGACCAGCGTGGTCAAGTCAGATATGGGGACACACTTTCTGAGCCCTTTCCTATAGCCAATGGTGTG